TAATCAGCAAAACTCCCAGCTCACCCAAGCAGACCCTCCGTAGTAGACAGGCACATCCGAGAAGCACCAGCATCTCATAGTAACCAAGCGATTCCCAATTCGCTACCCTCGATGAAGTCCGATACCCACAACCGCAGATCCGTCAGAATCCAAGCTCCTTTCCGTGCACATCGCAACCACCACAGGGGCGGAGCCTGCTCCCGACCACTCCATTGCACCACAGCTTCGGTCGCATACTCCCGAAAAAACAGAACATCATGCAGAGCTCCTCTCCCAACTGACATACGATGGACGAGCACCCAGCCTCAGGAAGGAATCCACAGGGGACCAGGGCAGTCATGTGGGAATATGTAGATAGTAGGGGATGAGGAATGCCATAGCATCATCACCAGAAGMAACATCAGAACCCCACCACCKTGGAGAGTCAATAAGAATGCTAACCCACCTAGGCTCAATACACATGGAAGGGGAGGACCCGCTGGACATGTGGACGACGGGAAGGAGCAAGCCACCCATGTGGCGCGGCATAGTGCACCAAGAGAGAGGAGAGAAAGGGTGATGGAGAAAAAGAGGAAACACCAGAAAGGCGCGGAGCRCAGGAACGGGGAAAACCTAGCGCACGCCATACTGCCCCTTCGAACGGGGGATGATCCACACCCAGAGCACCGCCACTAATCACCGAAGCAATCGCTAGGCCCTACACCACKTTGTGGGAATCGGGGAAGACGAGTTAYGACAGCCACYGCCGAGTTGAGCCGAACGAATGACWTGCAAATCCAAAARTGATAAGAAGGCCAGGTACGCCATGAASGCAATCAAAAAGATAAGGGCGACGTGGGTAGCCACCAAGAGCTCCATCTCCGCATAAACTTAGCAATCAGAGCCTTTAGAACTTCAACGGCGATGCATACAATAGAGCCTAYGAAGAAAGCCATCACAACACCGCAAGGAACAATCCACAGCCAATCACAAGAATACCATGCACACACAATGCGCCGGGAGGGGCAGACCACGTTAGCAGACAACCAATAAGAGGCGGGAAAAAAACGGGAAAAAAAARGGGGGGAAACAAAGGAATAGAGATAGAAATCCCAATCAGTTGAATGGCCCCAATGTGCCAACGCATGACARGAGGACGGTGGAACATGTCCTAAAGTACTTTTCACCGACTTCCACCYCGCCGGATMTTCAGAGGACTAAGCCTCCCTCATAGCATACTGAAAGGGACAGGAATCTTCATGGGCATGACCCAGATTCCACAGAGAAAGGTCCGGAGAGGGGTGGGAAAAGGCACGATTTAAGGCATATGGAGGGGGAAAAAATTGGGGAGGGGGGTGGGGAGTGGGGGGTGGGTGGTGGGACATGAGACACACGATGCATTACAACGCCGGCCGCCATGATCCGCTGAAATGGAAGAGAGTCGGGCAAACCTCCACTGACCACCGACAGCGACTAATACCCACGTCGTGGGCTTGAGAGAAGTGGGGAATCTCTTCAACAGGGTACAGCCGCTCCGCGAGAAGACCGTGCACAACCCGGGCTACCCAGCCAAAGGGGTAACCGTACCTCCCCAATAATCCGTACGCTCCACGATTGCCACGAGGCAACGGTCAATAAGTAGTTCCCATACGCAAATCACAACAATAGCGCAACGCTCCTTCCCTCAAGCACGACTGTCCAGAACACGAACCCAAAGCGTACCACGCGACCACATCGCAGCGCTATCCTCTACGCAAAGATCGCGAATCGACAGAGTGAACAACAACATCCGACACCAAGGCGTACTATGCCAGACGCGCAGCGGAAGCGGACGGTGAGCAAGAGCACGCAGCGATGGCACATCTCCCCACGTTACCACACCACCTCTTCTAAAACACGATGCGCACGGAGAAATCCGCGCTTTACACCACCGCATCATCACTTCGAAAGGAGATCATAATCAGAAACCAGGCCGCCAATGCGACGGAGCACACACCACCCACCGGGACAATGGAGCACAATACACCCGCCAGACGGGTGCCAAGCGTGCGTAGCGTCAGCAGTTCCACCACACCTCAATCACTCCACCTGCGTACAGTGCGGATCCTTCGAGCGTACCCCAAGAGGGGTCACGGACCATCCAGGAAGCACACAGTACGTGCGCCAACGGAGTGAGCACGAGACCCCCTTCTGACGGCCGGAAGTCGACCACCACAAAGAGGAAGAACTCAGGCATCAGGGATGCTTATATCAAACGGCGGACACCGCAAAAACCGTCGGGCCACAACCTCACGCCGTCAAGAGGCCTAAGGAATCTCCAAAACCCTCTGCGGGGGGAGGGTGGATGGGGGGGTCCCTCAATACACAGAGGAGGATGCACAACCGGAGGGACACCGACGACCCGGTATCCGTTCGATCAATTCATAATCCCCCCTCAACAATCTACATCCACAAAAAAAAAAAATTCAATTTTTTTTCCCTACTCTTTTTCTTTACTCCCTTTTTCTTATTATTTTTTTTCTTCTTTTCTTTTTTCTCATTTCTCAAAATCTTCTCTTTTCCCATTAAGTCCACTGACAATAACCCCCGCATCCCTTCAMATAATCCCACACCCCTACACCTTTTCTTCTTACATGGGGCCCAACAGAACCCGCAAGAGGGAAAATGAAGGCAAGAAGTGAGGTCTTTCTTACTGGGGCCAAGTATGGGGATATTTAGCAGATAATCCTAAACCACCACCCCTCAGTATGTATGTGTGTGTGTGACCCTCCCCTTCCCCGCTAGGGGTAGGCATGCTAGGGCAGGTAGCAGGTACCTGCCCTTGGCAAGGTACCCACTAGCCACCCTGGCAGCCTTACCGGTAGAGGCCATCAGGACACACAAACAGATAGAACACCATAACTGAACAAATGGTAAAACGGAGTCAGATTATCTTACCCGAAAACTTTGCCCTGCTGCCGCGACATCCACTCTGGGAGGAAGGAAATCCTGAGGGGAGTTAAGGACCCGATTCACACAATTAATGCAACCACGCAGGGGAAACCCATTGTGAACATTATAGGTAACGACCCTAAGGATTTCCTCGGCAGCATCACCTGGTTTGGTGCAGAGGACCAGGATAGAAGAGACCTGCGCAAGGATGATATTCAGTGATTGCTGGATATGCCTGTTCGATGCGTATTTCACATACCTTACCACTAGGAAATCCAATGACAGGCGTTTGTCAAACTTCGTGGTATAGAATGTCCCAGCAGAATCAGACGTGACGATGATTGATACGTTCAAAAATTGAGCCTTCAGGCCGTAAATTTCTCCAGAAGGGGATAGCTCAAAGACCTCAGTCTGGTTTTTGATCTAGATGAGGTGGAGTGGGTACAGGGCGAAAATGCCATCATCATCATCTTGAGGCCCCTGCAGGAACTTCAAGATGAAAGGGTTATTGACAGCATGGAGGTCATCAATGTACCTAAACATGTACTTGAATAAGGGAAGGAAATGCACATCCCTCCTGTCTACAAGCCTCATAACCAGGCCATACTCATACTTGAAAAAATACACAGTGCACCAAACTGGGGAACATGGCAGACCCATGGGGATTCCCAAAACCTGCCTCCAGAAGCGCCTGCCAAAGGAAGTAAAGCAATGAGCCAATAATCAATTAGTAAGTGCAATGACTTCCCCAGGATCTAACCAGAATCTTTTGAGGGAGGGGTTATCTTCCCTTGTTTTAACCAGGGAGCATGTGAATGAACCATCCCGGCAAGCCTTACACTTCACAAATCCACCAAGGGATTTGGAGGATGCGGTTTTGAAAGCAATCTCCACAAAAAAGGTGACAGCAGCCGTTAGGCTATTAGGGGATGTGTCGATGGGGATTGTTTCAAAACACCTCGTAATGTCCGCAGAAAACACAGAGAATACTTTGTCCGGGAGATTAAAGCAGTAGTCCTGGACCGATTCAATAGCCCACCATAAAGACGTTTCAACCCCATGAAAACTCCGCAAGCCATCCGTGATTTCTTTGCATCGGGCCATGACGAGCGGGGTGAGACATTTCAAGACCCCATCACACAAACAAGCCACAGGGGTGAGGAAGGAAAAGGAAGCATTCGTCAGCCAACGAAACGCAAGCTTATGGTGTTTGTATAAGGCCATAAGATAAGGAAGTTTCCTTGGGCCTATGGGAACAGCAGGGACGATCCTGCTGAGGGAAGATGCAGCCTCATCCAAGATTCCCTCTGCCATGAGGGAGACCGACACAAAATCGACGCTACTCAGTCTCTCCAACGCCAATTTCCTCACAAGATGAATACACAAACGATGGAGTGTTAGCTGTCTTGTCTGTTCCGGCAATGAACAGTCGTTTGGTCATAAATTCGATCTCATGCTTAACCGCATGGGTCTCAACGATGCAGGGGGGATCATGGTGCTTCCTAAGTTCAGAAAAGCCAAGTTGTGCCCTAAGCTCCACCGAAACGAACACGGACGCCCTTGACTGCATTGCAGGAGTGATGAGCATCCGTCTAGTGAGGAAGGAGAGAACTGCACGCCACACTTTAAACAACTCATGAAACGCAACATGGGGATTGGCAGGGCGGGGAGGAATGTGATTAAGGTCATGTGACATGAGCTCCGCCAGTTTAGGAAGCGCAGAAATGCCTGTATCGAGAGAAAGGATATGTGTAGAGGGGGAGGGAAAGGGTTGTGACATGCTAGCAGTGCAAGGGTGGCGGAAGGGGAGAAACCGCTTTGTGAAGCATGGGCAAGAGGGATGTTCCTCACATGACCGGCACCAATCCTCAAGCACAAAATCCCGAAACACAGAGGCAGGCTTATAGAGGACTGCTTCAATAGAGCTCAAATAAGTCCAGCCAATGACAATGCAAGACAACAATGTTTTGGCGTCCGGGGGAAAAAACTGATCAACGGTCATTTCAAGGATAAATCTGAAACGCACAGACTCCATAATCCTGCTTGTGTATAAGACATGCACAAAAAAATCCTTCCCCTCCTCCAAGGCTTTCTGCCATTTGCAACGGCCCGAGGGATCACGAAACATGAATCCCCAGGTTCTTCGACATCGTGCAAAACGAAACGAAAGAAACCACCCACATCAGTCAGTTCTTAAACAGCGATGCCCTAACTAAGCCCAGACCCCTCGGACTCCTTCGCAAAGGTCTGTTGCATGCAGACGCCTGCCCATCCTCCTGGACAATGATGGAGGAGGATGGGGGGGTGCTGGCAGAAGATGGCGCAGACTGATCCTGCGAAGACACAGAGGTCCCAGCACGAGAAGGGGGGACATAGAACTCCAAGATAGACTGCTGCGCCGTCCTTGCTTTCTTGGCCGATGATGCAGGGGCGGCTTCCAGAGCCCTCTTCTGGGCTGTGCGGACGTAACGTGCAGGAAGGATGAGCTTCGCCATGGTCCGGGGGAATTTGTGGAGCATGATGGCCGGATCATCAATGATGTCCTGCGCAGTCCTGGAAGGATCCATAGTGACACTGAACGCCATTTTCACCATCACATCCCTCATGTGTGTGAACACTACCATGGACAAGACGACAGCCCGCCATATGGACCTCGCTCTGACCCTGAAAGCACGAGCGCGAGCCCTGAGGGACGAAGCCTCCGGGAAAAGGTAGAAAAGGTCAGAGAGGAGGTACCAGAAAACATGATCGAACCAAGAGATGTTCTTCCCGCAATCCCCCTTTCCCTCTGCCACACACTGGCACTTCAGGTACGGGCAGCCCACATTCCAGATGCGTTTCAATTCCACAATCACCGTCTGCACCTTCGGTCCCAGAAAACCTCTCACTGCAAGTGCCGACGCAGATACACCACACTTAGTACGGTCAAAACCCCCAATGACCGGGAGCTTTATTGCATCCGGGGTGAGCGGGTAATTCCCCTTAATCAACTCGGTGTTCTCTGTAAGGGCCTTCTCCCTGCATTTTTTCATTTTCTCCCCCGTGAGAGATGCTAGAAACCGATACGAGTCAGCATGGATCGGGGCTACATAATTGAACGTGTACAGGTCCCAAAGCTTGTCATCCACGGACCTAGACTGGGCCTCTACCCATCTCGACGGGACTGTGGGGAGGAAGGCATTGCGTACGTACTTGTTGACGCAGGTTTTCTGGTTAGCCGCGATCGCCTTCACCCTATCCAACCTACCCTCCTCCAGTAGCTTAGCATGGTACGCTTTTTCCTCCTCCGTTAAGGTCAGCGAATCATCCTCCAAATCCTCCTCCTCACCCGACCCTACACCATCCTCGGTAGCCACCGGGTTCCTTTGGATCAGGCCGGTATGAAAATTGGACTCCGGCCCAAATAAGTCAATAAACATACAACGAGACCAACTCATCCTCGTCAGCGATATCTTTCGCCCTGGTGACCAAGTACTCGGTGAGCTTAAGGAACGC